TATTTTATTTTTTAAATTTTTGTCATTTTTTGAGTGACAAACATCAATTTTAATAAAGTATGTGACATTTGTCCCATTTTAATAAAAATAAAAAAGTGACATTTGTCAACACTTAACTTTACAAAGTTTATTTTCAAAATACTTTTCATATGATTTTTCAAAAGACATCTAATTTTAGGGGATATTTTTGTAAGTATATATGTTTAATGGGCTTTTTCAGTAAGATTAGGACCATTATTGACAACCTATTGGGCTTGTATGGGCTTGTCATGGGATGAAAAATGTTTGGCAATTTACAAACAGCTTAATTTTCATCTCTCCCCTAAAATTTAGCTTGTAGCGAATAAAAATGACGATTTTACTGCAATTCAGATAAAACTAGAATGGTCAACAAGCTTCAGAACGTTACCTGGAGAAATATAGTCCAAGGTGTTGTTTAATATTTAAAGATTACTTAAAAGGAAAAATTACATCAAACCCTATATTTTAAGTTTCAATTTTAAAATACGTGATTTAATTAATTTACTCCCCAAAATTAGAGGCATCCATACCTCCACTCCACTCCACTCCACCGACGATTGGAACAGCGGATGCAGAGGTGGATGAGTAGGCAGTGGAACGAGTCTTCTCCAAACTTTGACAATTCAACTATCGGCAAATGCTTAAATTGCAAAAGACGTTATGAGTAGAAGACACCATTTTCCCGTAGAGAGCAATTGTCTAACGATATTGCATCTACGATGTATTGTCGAGATTTACAGTTATACACAACATTTTGTACTCTTCCAATTATCGATTGACCATTGCAATGGATATATATAGGGGGCAGATGTTTTACCCAGCATAGAACATCTTTTATAAAGTTTTGTAGTCATTCAACTTCTTCCCAACTGTATCTAACGCATGCTATATATGTTTATTTTGACAATATCATGATTCTATAGCACCTCCAATTGTGTCGACATATCCACTCGTGGACTTAGTCTTTGGTATTTGATATCTAATTCGCACAATTGTATCCATCAAGTACTGTTGGATATCTCGAATAATGCAATTCAAAACTTTTGGTATGTTTTAAATACTCTAAAACTTTAACAATTGTCTTCTAATACTCAGTGCTTGAATTACTTGTATATCGATTTAGTCAACTTACAGAGTAAACAATATCACATCAAGTGCAGTTCATGACATATTAAACTATCAATAATACAAAATTATTTCATTTGAGACTTACTATCACTGGTGTTTGAAACAAGATGCATACTAGATGTCTTGTACAGATAATGCACAAATGTACATTGACAGCCAAAACCAAACCCCAAAAAATTGGGTTTGGATTTTCCAAGCAGTCTTAGATAATTTTATTTGAAAATAATTAAAAAACTGCTTAAAACGAATCATGTTCACCATTACTCAACGTTTTTTTTGAAAGTCTTATTTGCTTACGTTTTTTCTAATATATCCTTACACTGAATATGGTAGTTTATATTTGTTGGTAACAAGACACGTTAAATATGTGTATATTAGTCTAAAAATGAAAGTCATCTATAATTAGGGACATATAAAAAAGGACGAATATAATATATATTACATAGCCTCTGTTTGAACCACATTATTTTTAAAATACATTATTCTCTCTCTTCTTTTCAATCACACATTCTTTAATAAAATAATATTACACGCAAACTTCAAATTTTTTCTTATTTTTTAACTGTGCATTATTTATCAATCTACTATTCCAAAATGTTAGCCAAAAATTGAGCTCAAACGGCCGATAGCGATACATACAAAATTACATACAATGTATCAAATATATCTTTTAAGCAACCAATGATTGAAGCCATACACTGCATGGTCCTAGTATGGACGTGGGGAACCACAAGCTACTTAGTAATTATTGGTATGAACGTGAATTCGTGGGCGCATGTCTCACAGTCTGGAATTTCATGGAGTTGGAGAAGAGAATACAAACTAGCTAACTTAGTTCTTTTTAGGGTCATTGATTAACGCATCATTTATTTTGCTATATCCAAATCTAGAACGATTGAGGAACAAAATTAAATTTTAGCTTTTCATTATTCAAATAAATATGAAATAAATGTGGTTTGAGAATCCATTTCGCCGGAGAAGGGACAGGGCAAGGGCGTTGGCGTGAGTGAGTGAGTGAGTGAGGGAACGATTTTTCATACGTAGACTTGGACTTTTCAATGATTTCTTCATTTTTGTTCTAATAATTGTGAAAACTCGATGAATTTCGTTCCATGGAAGATGAGCTCTAATGTTCGACTTGATTCTCGGGGCCTAAATGATCATGTTTTATGAAGTAGGGTGGTTTGCGAAGGTGAAGAGAATCTTGGAGAGGAGATTTCGTCGAAGAGGATGTTGGGGAAATTGGTGTAAGTGAAGTGTTGATTCTCAGTGCCTAAATGATCATTGTTTGCTTATTAAAAAAATTATTAAAAAGGTAATTTTAATATTTGCTTATTTTTTACTCATGATTTATATTTCACGCTACAGAAAATAGATCATTCTTTATCATTTTTATTTTTATTTTTTGAAATCAAGAGATTTGATTGTTATAAAACTTAGGGATGATAAAAGAACTCGTTAAATTCAATATTTGCGGGGTCTTGTTCTGAACGAAGTAGAGATTCATCGTCTAATCAAGTACACGTGGCAAAACGGTGCGGGGATCGTTGCCCCGACAAAGGGGGTGGATACGGGGAAAGATGGTCCCTACCCCATCACCCATCTCTTTTAAAATCTATTTCAATATGTAAAATTTGTATCATGCAAAAAGAAACAAGTCATCATCATTTCTAAAGTGAACATGAATTATTCAACAAATTGAAAAAAAAAACTAATGATTTTTACCATATGTGTGTGTGTGTGTAAACGATGTGGTAAACGGCGTAGGGGACCTTCCTCTTCGATTCCGTTGTCATCCCTAGGTTAACACTTATTACTTCATAAAAACTAATGATATTTTTGTTTAATTACGTAGTTAAAACAAATAATATAGTCCGATTGTTGGAAGAGAAGTGAAAAATTGTCGATGAGATAAATATTAATTGAAATTATATTGAATTTGCTAATATAGTCCGATTTTAATTCCTTCAATTATTCGTAATTTATACAACTTGACACCAATGTTTTTAATTTGAATTCAAATCCATTTTGTCTTCACAATTTTTTGGAATTTCGGCTTCTGCCGCCCCACCGCCAAGCCCAGAAACCCACCGCCCAATTCACTACAAAACCCAGATTAGCTAATTGGTCCTTTTCATTGACATTTCCGCCACATATCCACGTATGATACAAAATATAAAATATTCAAGTTTCATCTTATTATTATTATTATTATTAACACTAATAAGATTTGTCAAAGACAACTCAGTGCACAAAACTCTAGAAAGTCTCCAACTTATCAAAAAGAGCACCTTAATCCCAAGCTCTCAACATTGTAGCTGTCGAAAATCTATCTCCAATCGATGTGGTAATATCTATCAATCTACCAATTCTTATATTGTGCATGAATTCACCGTTTGAGCTCCTACAATAGCATGGCAATGTTACCAACAATTAGGCGTATGGCATGTATAACCAAAGAATGTACTAATAATGTTATCATATGTGCAATTTTCGATATTATAAACCATATGCCTAACTGTTGACGACTTTATTGTATCGTATAAGAAGACAAGTATACTTAGTGCGGGACATTAATCAAGATAGTAGATCGATTACGTATTGTGAATTGCAATATTCTCTTTCTGTTCCCATTTCTAGGTCGTTGAATCAAATTATAATAGTAGAAATCGTAAATTATCATCCTCTTATTTTGATCGGTGGTATGTGCACTCTGTGTGTGTGTGGGGGGGGTGGGGGGGGTTGGGTAAGCAAAGAACATTAGAGAACATTGATTTAATTGTCGAACACAGGATTTTTGTTTGTGTAAACCGGAATGTTAAATCGTTGAAAGGTCGAGGATTTAAATAGTTGAAGACCTACTTACACCACTCATCCAAGAGTAAGGACTCTACAGTGAAATTGTTCCATATGCTAATTGGAGCTAAATACTTTAAAGGAGCCGGAGCTGGCCGTGGGTTCGATGACACCTAAATCGCGGTAACGTCACACTCCCACGCGCAAGCCACTCTCTCCCTCCTTTTCTCTCTCATCGATCCAACACAAATTTATATGTGCAGCAATTCTTTTCCAAATTCCCAAATTCAAAACACTTTTCAAAAATTGAATTCATCAATATATTGAAATCGAACGAAATAGCTGGTTGTAATTATACCACCAAAACAGAGCAACCAACCAGGGAGACGGGGGAGAGGATAAAAAGGAGTAAGCATACTATTAAATTATCTTTATCGTTTCTATTATTCTCAGACGTGTATAATTTCAAATTCTATTGATTTGCTATGGCCATATCTATTTTTTTTTTCTTTTCAAAATTCGGTTACTTTTAGCTTTAATATATTTTTTTTTAAAGATCCGAGCAACTTTTATTTCATCATATTTATTGATTCGATCTTGGATTATTGACTTTCAGATTGAGTGCTTGACCTGTAAAGGTTGATTGATGATCTGAAGTAGAATATTTGTGTATTGAAGGAAGGATCATTTCCAGGCGTTAAAAGATTTTTTTATCCTCTGTATATATTGTAAAGGCATTATTTTATGGGTATGTGCATTCTTCGTTCCTTCGTGTTTATAGAAATAGTATAATTTACTAATGAATAAAGTGTTTGCACATAGAAGCTTTTAGTAAAAAGGCAAAGTATACTGGTTTATATTGTGGCCTACAGTCTATTGGGTTTATTTAGCTCTGGTTTGGAAAGAAGTTGGAAATTACTTTTGGGATCTGTATAGGAATTTTTATTACGCTACTAGATAAATACAGGATTGAGGAGTTATATTTGATTGTAAATTTGGGTTAAAATTTGACATATGAAGAGAATTTTGGTATTTGAGGCTTGAAAACCACTGTAATGAAGCTAAATAGATCCAAGAGTCCAGCAGAAATAATGACTGGTGAGGTATCTGGTCCTTCCAGTCAATGGGTGCAGCAAGATTTAACCTCTGGCCTTTTGATTAATGAGGTGCCAGTTTGGAAAAATGTAAATAACAATGTATCTGTACAGACAGGCGAGGAGTTTTCGATGCAATTTCTTCAGGATCGTACTACTTCAAAAGTTGTTCCTACCTTGCATGGTGTTGCTCTGAACTATGAGAAGAAGGTTGGTGTTCCTGAAATTCAGAATAACCAACTATGTTACGAGGACCTTGCAAGAGTTCTTGGATTGAGGAGAGTGGATTCGGAGTGTGGTTCTGATGTCACTGAATTTACCTCTGCAAAGGGTTCTACTACACAGATTGAGAATGGGGTTTATGTTAATAATGAAGCTGTATATTGTAAAGATGGTGGCGCTAATGGACACGTGCCAAGAAAGTTTACTAGTGTAGTATATAATGATCAGACCAATTCAATGCAATGTGCTCCAGTGTTAACTGAATCCGAATCCTCTAGATCCTTGGATTCTTCAGGACTAAGAGTTTCAGATGGTTCTCAATCTGGAAAAATAAAGTTGTTATGCAGTTTCGGTGGTACAATATTGCCTCGTCCTGGTGATGGGAAACTCAGATATGTAGGGGGACAGACACGTATTATATCAATACGGAAGAATCTTTCATGGGAAGAACTAGTGAAGAAAACATGGGGCATATGTGCCCAGCCTCACTCAATTAAATATCAGCTCCCAGGAGAGGATCTTGATGCACTTATATCTGTGTCTTCCGATGAGGATCTGCAGAACATGATCGAGGAATATTATGGGGTTGAAAAACTTGAGGGTTCTCAACGACTCCGTATTTTTTTGATTCCTTTGAGTGAATCTGAAAGCTCCTGTACACTTGATGCCAGATCTGTTCAACAGAAAGACCCTGATTATCAGTATGTTGTTGCTGTAAATGGTATTGTGGGGATTGATCCTTTCCCCTCGATGGACTTTAATGGGCAGCCTTCTGCTGTGGAAGTGAGCCATTCATTGCCTAATGCAGAAAGCAACCCAATCTTCAAGAAAAGCCCTCCCTTCCTTCCACATCCTTTGGAAATGAAGGACAACCCTGGTGTCCCAAATCTTACTCAGTTTTTGAATGGATCTCAGAATTTGATCAACTTCCCATATCAATCCCCTTCCATTACTCCCGTTCCTGTTCAACCAGGAGATCTAAGGAATGACAACACAGCATTGTATGAAAATATTGCATCAGATGGCAGTACTGAAGGTCCCATTTTATTCGGCACTGCTCAATTATCACCTCCACCCGAGAATTCCATTTGCTATACTGCTGCATACTATCATAACTCTCAGTTGCCCATAAATGTGACGAGTTTATTCGATCCTATTAGAAACGATGACATCGTACAGCCAAGTGTTTCGAGTGAATCTATTTTCCAGGGAGAGCTTGTGGCTCCATCAGGACTTGAGCAAAATAGCAGCAACTTTGAACAAAGCTGTCATGACATGGCAGCAATGACGGGAAGGATATTTCATTCGGAGAAGCATCACTCTCACCCAGATAATCTGATGGGCATTTTGCCAGGATGTAATGATTCAATTGGTTCTCATCATGGAATGCCTCATGCCGTTTCTGACTCCAAGCTTCAGGAACAGGGTGAGAGGTCTATTTACGGCTCACAAGAAGGTATGAGTCTGTTGTCCACCTCGAACTTTGCAAGACCTCAATTATCTACACAGAAAGATCCGGTTTCTTTTCAAGAAAATCCATTTCAATTTCACAAGAATATTGGCCTTGTCGAGCCACAAGTTCATATTAAGCTACCGAATGTGGAGTCAACTCTATCTAACAGGGGGGTGGAACTGATGTTTCCCCTAGGCTCGGAGTCATCAAGCAAAACCGGATCTAATGATCACGTTGAAAATTGTTGGAGTTCTGAAACAGTGATCAGGCATGACACAAGTGGCCAACTGTTGCACAATGTAGAGAACTCTTGTGGTATCAAGTCACCTATGGTTGCTATGGAATCAATTAAAAATTTGCACAATGTCAATTGCCCAGCATCTCTTATGGACTTCAACACTCCAAGACAAGATGCACAGCTTGCTAGCTGTGTTATCCATGCATCATCTGCATTGGACTTGAAACCATGTATTGATTCAACGATGGACAAATCTCAAAACAATCATATGGGGAAAACCTCATCTGGAGTCATGAGGTTCAAACCAGAAAGCAACACTTCATGGGACAAGAACTCAGAAGTTGCCGGGCTTATACACAATTCTAGGGAACAGTCTCATGCTGCAAGCTCTTTAAGTCATATACTTGGGGGATTATCTAACGGTTTAGTTTCACATGAGGTCCCTGAGCATCAACCTGCTGCATGTCCAAAGGATGTGGGTCTTGAGAAACCCAAGGTAACAGAATCTGAAGACCTGCATAACCCTACAGTTGCTGATAATGCAGGTGGAAATAAGGTTCTGCACAACTCTGCTTTGATGCAGAATCCATCTAAGGATGCTATTTATGGGAGAGAAGTCCATCTCCTTGATGAGGACTTGGCCAATTATGCTGATCACCAGATCGAAAAGTTGAACCATGTCAAATTTTTTAATGAGCAGCATAAGGTACAGGACACTCCACTATGTAAGAACAAGGAACAACATCAGCAGAAGCCTGTCCCAATTATTCAATACACGAGTTTACATTTATCTCCTATTGCTGAATCTCGCTCCAAGATTGTCCAAGAAGTAGCAGATACAGTTAATGCGGAAATCCTATCTCCTAGTGCTACTGAAGCTGAGAACACTTTAAAGAATTCGAGTTCTGAGGTAAATTATTTTTTGCTGTATTATTTTGAATCTCTAGTCTCATTATCTTCTCATCTATATGTAATTTTATGCCATTGCCTGTGCTTAATGTAGGAAGCTCATTCCGATGGACATGAAGAATTGATTAGTGATGCAATGATAGCTGAAATGGAAGCAGATATATATGGTTTGCAGGTATCTGTTGAATACTTATTAATAACAAGAAAAAAATGCTAGGTGTCCTGTTGTCATCCATCTTAATTTCGCTGAGCTTTTATCCCTTTCAACTCAAGCAGCAGGTGGGGGCATGGTTTTGGGTGAGAGTAGTTATGGTTGCTTTCTGCCAATGACTACATATCATTCTAAACTAATTCTTGATATAATTATATGGCTTGATTGTTGAATTAATTAAGCATCAATTTCAGCCATAAAATGCTCATGATATTAGGTTCATCTGGTAATGCCCTTAGAATTCATACATTTGTTACACTACAATTATTTCTCTCACGAGAGGTGTTTGGTTTTCTTTTGAACCTTCAATTCCCTTTCCTCATTAACTGGTTACTATGGGGTTTTTTCTTTTGGGGTGGCGTTCGTGGGAACTAGTTTAGATTATGTTTGAACATCAACTTTTTAGTTATTTTTGTTTCCATTTTTGAGAGATTTTATATTTAAGTAGACCATTAAAGTGCACATATTGGAATTTTACTTAAATATGTCCTTAAGGTTTGAGTCTCTGCCTTTTGATAATTCAAATTTTCTTGCAGATTATAAAGAATGCTGATCTTGAAGAATTGCGCGAGTTAGGATCTGGTACATATGGAACTGTTTATCATGGGAAATGGAGAGGATCAGATGTCGCCATCAAAAAAATAAAAAAAGCATGCTTCTCTGGGAGATCATCAGAACAAGAACGATTGGTGGGTCATTTATATATTTCCTTTCTTCGCAAGTCATATTTCTTTGGGCTGCTGAGCCAAACTGGTTCAATGTAAAATGCGTGTAACGTTCATTATCTTCTGCCTTTGCAGGCACAAGACTTCTGGAGAGAAGCTCAGATCCTGTCCAATCTCCATCACCCAAATGTTGTTGCATTTTATGGAGTGGTACCAGATGGTGCTGGGGGAACCTTGGCAACCGTAACTGAATTTATGGCAAATGGATCACTCAGAAATGTCCTAATTAAGAAGGATAAGTGAGCCATCTTCCACTTCATTTCTGCACTTTTCTTGTTCATAATGTAATACGATTCTCTGAAATAAAAATTGCAGATCACTTGATCGCCGTAAGAAGCTCATGATTGCCATGGATGCAGCTTTTGGCATGGAGTACTTGCATTCAAAAAATATTGTCCATTTTGATTTGAAATGTGACAATTTGTTAGTTAATCTGAGAGATCCACAACGACCCATATGCAAGGTACTTATGACCAATTGAAGAGTGGATATTGTTTTAAACTGCATGTTAATAACTGTGACTCATGAAAAAAAGTGCATATTGGCATCAGGAATGTGATCATGCACCCGGCTTCCCCAACCAGGAAAACATACTATAAAGTGCTCCATAATTTAGGGATAAAACCTTGGTTGGGAGATTTTTTTTTTTTTTTTTTCCCTTTTCAAATCTATATTCGTTTTTTTGACATCGGTGGCTACTGATATTGCCATAATCCTTGTTTGAATATCTATGATTCTAGCTACTATGGGTATTATAATTAAGGAAATAGTATCCTAAATTGAGGTGAAGTTAAATGGTTTATTTTGTAGTTTGCATCCTCCAAAACCTACAGTTTTAAGTAGATGACCTCTAATAATAATGAGGAATTTTAGGAATTCATGTTTTCAAAGATAAAAGAGGGCCCTAAACTGCAATACATGAACAAAGAGAGTCCAGGTAACACCTATTCTTGAATCATTTGATCTAAAAGCTTGAGTTGTTGGACATGTCACATGTAATATTATTTAAATCTTGTTTTAACAGGCCTCTCACATGTAGGAGGATTTCTTTTTCCCATCAAAGGCATAACACGTGCGCAATTCTTAAAATCCAGTCACTAGCCCTGCCTTTGGCATCCCCCTCCCTGCAACCCGAACTGATAAATGGAGTCTATGAGACTTGAATCTATGATTTTCATGCGTTATGATACTTGTTCATCTAAAATCTTAAGCTGTTAGAGAGGGTCACGTTATATTATTTAAATTTTGTCTTCAACACTTAACTTACATACACAATAAATTATATCTTTTCTGGTGACGTGTGCAAGATAATTAGTATTAAACTGTGTCGACACATGCCTCTGTGCGTATGTGTGTTGAAAACCACAGATTGCTACAGTTGAAGATGGAATTCACCTGGATGGATGTGATCAATCCCACTTTTGGGAGAAATCTTACCTTTTTCTCCAATATTAACTGGCAGTAACTAAGAAAGTTTGGTAGGTTGGAGATTTTGGACTATCAAGAATCAAACGCAATACACTAGTATCTGGTGGTGTGCGAGGAACCCTTCCATGGATGGCGCCAGAACTATTGAATGGGAGCACTAGCCGGGTATCAGAAAAGGTAAAAAACTACTATAAATATTTTCCATGCGGTATTTTACTGATATCAATCAATCAATCATAGTATAAAGATCCCGAAATATGATTTGGCTTTCGACAGGTTGATGTGTTTTCATTTGGCATAGCACTATGGGAGATCCTAACTGGTGAAGAACCTTATGCAAATATGCATTGTGGGGCAATCATTGGTAAGTTGATATCATCAACTAGTGACAAAAATGGCCATTATATTTTACAAAGAGTAATCATTTGCTAAAGAGAATCAACACCGAGGGAACATGGCAAAAAAATGTTAAAATGAATTCAAACTGCTTTGACGTAGAACGAGAAACTCTTGTCAATTTCAATTATTTGATGTATTATCATTTTGTTATTTAAATTTTCTTATGGAGCTTTTTTGGCCTTAAAATCCAATATCAAACATTTAAATTCCCTCTAAACAGAGGAAAGAAAATCCAATAGTGCTTTTGTCGGTCTTTGTTTCTTTAGCAAGAAAGCTCCAATTGATTATGGCATCTTAATTGCCAGCCAAGGTAACAGTTTAGTGTGACATTGATGGCTCAAACTGAGCCAATTTCCGGCTCTTCAACTATGACCATGTATGATGCACTGACACGGACACGTGTCTGATACGTCGACACGCAATTTTTTATAAAAATAATGACATAACACGTCGTCGACACGTTGATTAAGTTCTTTAAAATTCTTTATTTACATAGTATAAATTTGGTTTTATATTTGTTAATTGTTCTCGTTGAAATTTTTTAAATATGGGTACATATTTGTTATTTACTAATAATTTTGAGTTAAAAATATGTAATATTTTGAATAAAAAAGAAAAATGATCACGGTAGAGTGTCCAAGGAGTATCGGTATCTGACACGAATTCGACATGGACACGTTACACTAGTTAAAGTGTTCATGCAACAAAGATGACCATTGAAGTACACATCATTGTTTGACATGGAACACATTGAGGCTTATTTAAAATACCTGTTGCTGACACATTCGTCTGTCATTTTCTGCTGGAACTAATGCTTCTTTTCCTTATATTTCTTCAATTAATTTTGCTCGCTTTGATGGTGAGGTGGTAGGATGGGTATCGGAGTTTTCTGTGTGGCAGTGGGATTAGGTTGGAGGACTGTATATATCATGAATGTATAAGCCATTTTCTAATGGCTATGCAGGTCCCTTCTCATGCTTTTATAGTTGATGACTATGGGTTTGAATTTCGATAGAATTAAAAACACTTTATTTCACAACTACTAGAGAAATTATTAGCCTTTCAAGATAAATGATACCCTTTACCTTCAAAATTTGAATGATGCATAGTATTAACTGAGTGAAGTGCATGGAGGGTTTCTTGTTTGTCAGGACCACACCAGATAAGATACCTAGGGTTGAGCGCCAAAGTACAATATGAAGGAGTCAAGTCCCCAGATTTTATGAAGTTGCTTCTGACAACCTGGAATCTGGATTATTCTTTGATGTTTCTAAAAACTAGGCGCTTAGTTTTTTTAATTAGTCTTCAAATGTTAATCCTCGAGCTTGAGTGGTAGATGATAGTATGAGAGATGCTGGGTTCTGTTAATGACATGGGGTGCAAAGTAAAGTAAAACGAGACGACCCATACCATCAAAAAATCACTTCTGAAATAAGTGAGGATAATTTTGTGAGTTGGTTTTCCAATAATCCCTTGGCTATGAAAAGCTTATGCATGCTTTTGAAGAGGTACTTGTAATGTTCTTTAAATTTTCTGCACATGGCACCGTATACTTTATGAAATACCTTTGGTGCTCGAAAGCAAATTCTGCAAGTTAATTCATTATTTTCTGATTTTGTTCTCTTTCCACTATCTCAGTAATGGTAAAAAAAAAAAACCCCCACCTGATAAAATAGAAAGAAAGATCCAATATGAAAACAATTTAAGTAGAAAATTTGTTTTCTGTTGAACTTGCCATTTTATCATTTTAACTGATCTGTAAATCATGCATGTAGGAGGAATCGTCAAAAACACTCTTCGGCCTCCCATCCCTGAAAAGTGTGATGCCGGGTGGAGGATGTTGATGGAACAATGTTGGTCAGCTAAACCAGAAGCACGGCCATCATTCACTGAGATCACTAATAGGTTAAGATCTATGTCTGCTGTCCTTCAGTCAAGGGGGAATATCAACCCTGTGAGTCAAATGAAACCCAATATTACCATGTAAGTCGAAAGACACTTTCTTTAGGGGTAAATATCAAATAGTATGTTGAAAACTGCTGCTGGGGTCAAAGATTTGTGAATTTTTCTTTCTGTTTCTTACGAGTGTATATTTTCTCTCATTTTGGCGTTTTGAACCTTTATCGATCTAATTTTTTTAATTATTTTGCAACTGAGACTCTTTAAATTACAGTTCAGACATGAAAAGATTATTTTAAGACTCATACTTTTCATTGACCTCACATGAATCCCTTTTACTCTGTGGTTGAGTCTCTTGATATCTTGTTAACCCTCAGTATTTTCAGATTTTCTTTGAATTAAAGGGTTTAAGGATTGGTACCTCTTAAAAAAAGATGGAAGTGAAAATTAAAGCAATAAAATATTGCTTAATTTATTGTAAATGATAAGTCTTATAAATCCTTCTAAAAATGTGTGAACAAAAAACGATTTGAATATTTATAAATATGAGCAAACAGATGTGGAAAAATTGATTCCTAACCAGTTTGAAAATCTTCATTTTTCTTTTATTTTTCCTGTTTCTTGACAGTTTTGGTGACAAGGGTGGGCCACACTCAAATATAACTACACCAATAAAACATGTCAAGAATTAAAAGATTGTGTCGTGTACACCCCTTGTCCATATTTTAAAATATGGTAATGGTGGTAGCCAATGCAATTGAATTTCTATTTTGTACAAAATGAATATTTTTTAGATGTACCAAGAAATAGGTAATACTTTTCTTCCCTACTAGGCTTAGAACATGCCTAAGTTGACGAAATCTTCATCTAATAAACAGAAGCATATGAATGGGGATAGTTAAGTGTAGAATAATAAGGTCTTAATAATATGGATTATGTCCTACGTACACGACAGTTTTTTAACAAGGCCCCTCATTGTAGCGGCGGGCCCCATCCCACGTATTAAAAAAAAGTGGAAATTACATCAAACCCTATGTTTCAAGATCCAAC